GAGCTAGCAGAAAGGAGATGGAACAAATTCTTGGAGAGAAGACCACTCAGGTTGTTGACATGGACGAAAAACACAGAGTCACAAGAGCAACGAAATGGGTAGGAGCATTGCAGCCTACGGCCTGGATTGCGCAAGTATCAGTGTGGCGATGAACCTACAGTATTGTACAATATCAATGCTTTTATTCTTCAGAGACATACTTCTATTGGGTCTATTGGAACGGGACGTGTACTTGTTCCGAACCCTTTTGCATACAAACTTTGAAGATTGTGTAGCTTGTCGCTGCTCTGGGCAGATTTTTGTGGCGAAGAGAATGGGCTTATTGGGCCGTTGTCGATTGAGCTTCCGAGCAGTGAAGAGTTTGAAGTTTTATTTGTTTCCATCTTTTTGGGCTTGCAATCAAGTTCCGTTTTCGAATATAGTCCTTTTATCCCCATTCCATCTGAACTATTTGTATGATTCAGATTCAGATTCATAGAGTGCAGCTTAATCATGGTTGATCACGGCTGCTGCTTGGATCCATCGAGTTCTGCCACGGCTCCGTGAGACCCGGGCGACTTGGCGTTTTGCGTAAGGCATTTCGACATGGATGGATCGGAAGCTATCAGATCGCATGAATGTTATGTTGTATTAATCTGCATTGTTTATGCCTGATGTTTCTGAGATGCAAGGTGGAATGCACAGTGATGTGTAGTGGGAAAGCAGTTGAATCCACAAGACACGGTTCTGAGATGTTATGTTATGGGCTTACTTCCGGACTTCATCTTGTCCAACTGGTTGTCCAACTGGCTGCATCTGGGCATGGCCAGCAATTTCCGAGTGAAACGTCCAAGTGACGTCGCTCAAAAACACATGGCCCTGAAGGACGGACCGGGCCTGCGGGCAACGGCCCCCACTGCCTAACGTTGCTTTCTGAACCTACACGAAAACTAGCTGTCTTCCAGCCGCCAACAAGGCTCACAAGCGGCGCCCTCGCCACAGCGAAACAGCAGATCCCTGAGGGACGGACCGAGCCTGTGGTAGCTGTCTTCCAGCCGTCACAAACGGCGCCCTCGCCACAGCGAAACAGCAGGGCCCTGAAGGACGGACTGGGCCTGCGAGCAACGGCCCCCAGTGCGTAACGTTGCTTTCCGAACCTTCAAGAAAACTAGCTGTCTTCCAGCCGCCAAGGAAGCTCACAAACAGAGCCCTCGCCACAGCGAAACAGCAGGGCCCTGAAGGACCGACCGGGCCTGCGGGCAACGGCCCCCACTGACCTACAAGAAAACTAGCTGTCTTCCAGCCGCCAACAAGGCTCACAAACGGCGCCCTCACAACAGCAAAACAGCAGGGCCCTGAAGGATGGACCGGGCCTGCGGGCCACGGCCCCCACTGCCTAACGTTGCTTTCTGAACCTACAAGAAAACTAGCTCTCTGAGCTGTCTTCCAGCCGCCAAGGCTCACAAACGGCGCCTTCGCCACACCAAACAGCAGGGCCCTGAAGGACGGACCAGGCCTGCGGGCCACGGACCCCACTGCCTAACGTTGCTTTCTGAACCTACAAGAAAACTAGCTGTCTGAGCTGTCTTCCAGCCGCCAAAACTCACAAACGGCGCCCTAACATTCTCAACCTACAAGCCAAGGAAGCTCACAAACAGGCCTCGCCACAGCGAAAACAAGCAGGGCCCGAAAGGACGGACTGGGGCCTGCGGTGGGCAACGGACCCCAGTGACTAAAGTTGCTTTCTACAACCTACCAGGACAAACTAGCTGTCTTCAGCCGACAAACCAAGGCTCACAAACGGCGCCCCCTCGCCACACGAAACAGCAGGGCCTGAAGTGACGGACAGGGCCGAGCGGGCCACGGCACCACTGCCCTAACGTTTGCTTTCTGAAACCTACACGAAAACTAGCTGTCTTCCAGCGCCAACAAGCCTCACACACGGCGCCCATCGCCCCACGAAACAGCAAGCGCCTGAGGGAGGACCGAGGCGCGGCAGCGAAAACAGCAGGGCCCGGAAGGACGGACCGGGCCTGCGGGCAACGGCCCCCAGTGCCTAACGTTGCTTTCTGAACCTACAAGAAAACTAGCTGTCTTCCAGCCGACAACAAGGCTCACAAACGGCGCCCTCGCCACAGCGAAACAGCAGGGCCCTGAAGGACGGACCGGGCCTGCGGGCAACGGCCCCCACTGCCTAACGTTGCTTTCTGAACCTACACGAAAACTAGCTGTCTTCCAGCCGCCAACAAGGCTCACAAGCGGCGCCCTCGCCACAGCGAAACAGCAGATCCCTGAGGGACGGACCGAGCCTGTGGTAGCTGTCTTCCAGCCGTCACAAACGGCGCCCTCGCCACAGCGAAACAGCAGGGCCCTGAAGGACGGACTGGGCCTGCGAGCAACGGCCCCCAGTGCGTAACGTTGCTTTCCGAACCTTCAAGAAAACTAGCTGTCTTCCAGCCGCCAAGGAAGCTCACAAACAGAGCCCTCGCCACAGCGAAACAGCAGGGCCCTGAAGGACCGACCGGGCCTGCGGGCAACGGCCCCCACTGACCTACAAGAAAACTAGCTGTCTTCCAGCCGCCAACAAGGCTCACAAACGGCGCCCTCACAACAGCAAAACAGCAGGGCCCTGAAGGATGGACCGGGCCTGCGGGCCACGGCCCCCACTGCCTAACGTTGCTTTCTGAACCTACAAGAAAACTAGCTCTCTGAGCTGTCTTCCAGCCGCCAAGGCTCACAAACGGCGCCTTCGCCACACCAAACAGCAGGGCCCTGAAGGACGGACCAGGCCTGCGGGCCACGGACCCCACTGCCTAACGTTGCTTTCTGAACCTACAAGAAAACTAGCTGTCTGAGCTGTCTTCCAGCCGCCAAAACTCACAAACGGCGCCCTAACATTCTCAACCTACAAGAACGCTAGCTGTCTCAGCTGTCTTCCAGCCACCAAGGCTCACAAACGGCGCCCTCGCCAGACCGAAACAAACTAGCTGTCTCGGCTGTCTTCCAGCCTGCAGGCCCCTTCGCTCTTGCTTCTGTTTACAAGAACGCTATCTGTCTCAGCTGTCTTCCAGCCACCAAGGCTCACAAACGGCGCCTTCGCCAGACCGAAACAAACTAGCTGTCTCGGCTGTCTTCCAGCCTGCGGGCCCCTTCGCTCTTGCTTCTGCTTCTTACGTCTTGAGCTGCCATGTCTCCTTCGCTCTTCCGTCTTATCCTTTGATCCTTCGCTCTTGCTTCTTACTTCTTGTTTCGTCCGCGTCGACACTTGTTGCTGGCCATCTCTTCTCTGACGCGCTCCCCCTGCTGTCGGCAGGGGTCGGCGGATATATAGATATATAGATATAATTGTATAATATATATATATATAAATAATTATGTAATATATATATATAATATAATATAATATAATATAATACAATACAATATAATATAATATAATATAATAATATATATATATATATTATTATATATATATTGAAAGTTTTTGTCCAACAATGTGGAAATACCAATGCCTTCCCAACACAAATCAACCTTTGTTGGTGCACTACATTGGTCTTGGAATTCGACCCTGGAGGTGACGAGAGTCCCACTGCAGTGGTCCGAAAACCATCTTCTATGTCTAACATCGCAAGTCCCTTAGACGCTTGGCAAAGTCCTTGGCTTCCTCGCTGAAGCGGACTGGGCCAGGCCAACTTGGGTTGGGAACTTACATTCATGATATTTCATGATCATTTATTTATAGATAGTATAGATTCAAGATGGTGCAAGTCACCAAACTGTAACAACTAATTTCTTAGAAACTTGGCCGGGGAGAAGAGATAGTACCGCTGGGAATCAGGAATGAATCTCTCTGAGACGTGTTCTTTTTGATTTCTAACACCTGGCTGTGGATTTCCAAAGGATCTGATTCGCTCATGGGGCAGCTCCAAAGAGAGCCTGGTCTCGGTTTCTGGGCCGCAGTTCAGGGCTGTTGCTTCATGTTGCTTCAAAGTCATCCATCAACACGTGTTATCCATATCATCCAACATCCATTTCACATCATTTTGTCAAGTCTTCATCTGAAGCAGATTGAGTTTCTCTTGAGTTGTCATCTCCGTTGTCCTAAGTCCTGGTTCATGATGTTCATGGACGCACCGAGGTTGCCTTGTTCCTTGTATGCCTTGCACTTGATCGCATCCATCCTCATACAAAGCCTCAGCTGAGCCCTGGTAGCAATCCTCTTTCTCTTTCCTTGTACCTCCTTGCTATGACGAGTGTCCTACAGCTGACTATTCCTTTCAAAATTCAAAAAAGATCAGCTCGTGTTCCTTGGAGTCTTTCTTGCAGTGTCCTGGCGACAGTTGATTCATCTTGAAGCGCTTCATCAGGAATTCCTATTCCTATTTCACTTTGTTTGTGGCGACCTTAGATCTTCAACGGATTTGATCTCGCAGGAGTTTTGCAAAACCTGAATTCCACAGACATTTACGGATTGACATATAAGGAGCCGTCCCAACCGAACCCATGGAACCAGAACTCTGGAATGGGTACACTTTGTAACGTGTTTCTACCAAACCTGCTACCCTTCAAACATTCAGTTGTGACACATGGCGGACATTCTGCCTGACCCTGCCTTACTGCCTTGGATATCAGACCTACTTTGAACATAAAGAAAGGGTGTCGCATTCTTCACCGGGATCCCTTTTGGAGTGGTTATAAATTGTTCTACAATTGGCTTGAGGGTATGTTTTTTTTTGTTTTGTAATCAGAGTATTTCGCCAGTTGCGCTAGCGACTTGCCTGCCAACCGGTCTGTTTTTGTTCGTCAGTGAACGGTGTGGTGATAGTAGCAGTAGGCGATAGTAGGCGGAGGAGTAGCAGGGGCGTGGTAAGTCTTGAGGTAAGTCTTGAGGTTGGTAAGTCTAGAAGTCAAGATTTACATGTAAAAAAACAGCTGGTTCCTTTTCGGTTGCTTTTCTCCACTTGTGCTTTACCAAACTTCGCGCAGCCTAGGTCACCTTGGAGTCCCTTTGGCTGCTGCTGATGCAATGCCAAGCAGATGTGGTGCTCATCAGTGCTACACTGGTCCTAAGGCCCCAACCTTTGACGGTTGCGAATGGAAGCCATATGAAGCCATCAACATCTTTTCATATTTTTTAATGCTTAGATGTGGTCTGACATGATATTAGATCAAAATTAATATTAAATATATTAATTAATTAGCTTTCTTATGATTCTTCAGAATATCCCATCTATTTTACAGCTAGGCTCACTGCGATCAGTCGCTGGTGGTTCTCTAGGCTCGCCGGGGCTCTGGACAACGACCGAGATGCATGGGGTGGCTTTAGCGCCTTGGCTCAAGGGACGGTCCCTTAAATCAGCCAGGCCTGGTTCCAGACGAATAGATCTCAGTCACGAGCAAGTAGAAACCATAGTGCTGACAGGTATTGATAGTACACATCATGATAGTATATCAGTATATATATATGTTAGAGAGACCTTTCTGTACTATTTGACGCCTTTACTAATCTTCATTATTTTAAAGTACAAGAAAATATATAAAATAAATATTTATTTTCTTTATTTTCTTTATTGTCCTGAAGCCTCAAAAAGAAAATAAAGAAAATAAAGATTTATTTTCTTTATTTTCTTTATTTTCCTGGAGCCTCAAAAAGAAAATAAAGAAAATAAAGAAAATAAAGATGTATTTTCTTTATTTTCTTTATTTTCCTGGAGCCTCAAAAAGAAAATAAAGAAAATAAAGAAAATAAAGATTTATTTTCTTTATTTTCTTTATTTTCCTGGAGCCCCAAAAAGAAAATAAAGAAAATAAAGAAATTAAATCTTTATTTTCTTTATTTTCTTTATTTATTTTCTTTATTTACTTTTCCAGGTGTCCAGCACGATGGAATCTATAGAAAATAAAGATTTATTTTCTTTATTTTCGTTATTTTCCTGGAGCCTCAAAAAGAAAATAAAGAAATTAAAGAAAATAAAGATCTATTTTCTTTATTTTCTTTATTTTCCTGGAGCCTCAAAAAGAAAATAAAGAAAATAAAGAAAATAAAGATTTATTTTCTTTATTTTCTTTAATTTCCTGAAGCCTCAAAAAGAAAATAAAGAAAATAAAGATTTATTTTCTTTATTTTCTTTATTTTCCTGGAGCCTTAAAAAGAAAATAAAGAAAATAAAGAAGTGAATCTTTATTTTCTATAGATTCCATCCTTCTGGGCACCTGCAAAAGTAAATAAAGAAAATAAAGATTTATTTTCTTTATTTTCTTTATTTTCCTGAAACCTCAAAAAGAAAATAAAGAAAATAAAGAAAATAAAGAAAATAAAGAAAATGAAGATTTATTTTCTTTATTTTCTTTATTTTCCTGGAGCCTCAAAAAGAAAAGAAAGAAAATAAAGAAAATAAAGATTTATTTTCTTTATTTTCTTTATTTTCCTGGAGTCTCAAAAAGAAAATAAAGAACATAAAGAAATTAAATCTTTATTTTCTTTATTTTCTTTATTTACTTTTCCAGGTGTCCAGCACGATGGAATCTATAGAAAATAAGAATTTATTTCCTTTATTTTCTTTATTTTCCTGGAGCCTCAAAAAGAAAATAAAGAAAATAAAGATTTATTTCCTTTATTTTCTTTATTTTCCTGGAGCCTCAAAAAGAAAATAAAGAAAATAAAGATTTATTTTCTTCATTTTCTTTATTTTCCTGGAGTCTCAAAAAGAAAATAAAGAAAATAAAGAAATTAAATCTTTATTTTCTTTATTTTCTTTATTTACTTTTCCAGTTGTCCAGCACGATGGAATCTATAGAAAATAAAGATTTATTTCCTTTATTTTCTTTATTTTCCTGGAGCCTCAAAAAGAAAATAAAGAAAATAACTCTTTATTTTCTATAGATTCCATCCTTCTGGACACCTGGAAAAGTAAATAAAGAAAATAAAGAAAATAAAGATTTATTTTCTTTATTTTCTTTATTTTCCTGGTGTCTCAAAAAGAAAATAAAGAAAATAAAGAAATTAAATCTTTATTTTCTTTATTTTCTTTATTTACTTTTCCAGTTGTCCAGCACGATGGAATCTATAGAAAATAAAGATTTATTTCCTTTATTTTCTTTATTTTCCTGGAGCCTCAAAAGTAAATAAAGAAAATAAAGAAAATAAAGATTTATTTTCTTTATTTTCTCTATTTTCCTGGAGCCTCAAAAAGAAAATAAAGAAAATAAAGAAAATAAAGATTTATTTTCTTTATTTTCTTTATTTTCCTGGAGCCTCAAAAAGAAAATAAAAAAAATAAAGAAAATACAGATTTATTTTCTTTATTTTCTTTATTTTCCTGGAGTCTCAAAAAGAAAATAAAGAAAATAAAGAAATTAAATCTTTATTTTCTTTATTTTCTTTATTTTCTTTATTTTCTTTATTTACTTTTCCAGGTGTCCAGCACGATGGAATCTATAGAAAATAAAGATTTATTTTCTTTATTTTCTTTATTTTCCTGGAGCCTTAAAAAGAAAATAAGGAAAATAAAGAAAATAAATCTTTATTTTCTATAGATTCCATCCTTCTGGACACCTGGAAAAGTAAATAAAGTAAATAAAGAAAATAAAGAAAATAAAGAAAATAAAGATTTATTTTCTTTATCTTATTTATTTTCCTGAAGCCTCAAAAAAAATAAAGAATATAAAGAAAATAAAGATTTATTTTCTTTATTTTCTTTATTTTCCTGGAGCCTCAAAAAGAAAATAAAGAAAATAAAGATTTATTTTCTTTATTTTCTTTATTTTCCTGGAGCCTCAAAAAGAAAATAAAGAAAATAAAGAAATTAAATCTTTATTTTCTTTATTTTCTTTATTTTCTTTATTTTCTTTATTTACTTTTCCAGGTGTCCAGCACGATGGAATCTATAGAAAATAAAGATTTATTTCCTTTATTTTCTTTATTTTCCTGGAGCCTCAAAAGTAAATAAAGAAAATAAAGAAAATAAAGATTTATTTTCTTTATTTTCTCTATTTTCCTGAAGCCTCAAAAAGAAAATAGAGAAAATAAAGAAAATAAAGATTTATTTTCTTTATTTTCTTTATTTTCCTGGAGCCTCAAAAAGAAAATAAAGAAAATAAAGACAATAAATCTTTATTTTCTATAGATTCCATCCTGCTGGACACCTGGAAAAGTAAATAAAGAAAATAAAGAAAATAAAGATTTATTTTCTTTATTTTCTTTATTTTCCTGAAGCCTCAAAAAGAAAGAAAATAAAGAAAATAAAGATTTCTTTCCTTTATTTTCTTTATTTTCCTGAAGCCTCAAAAAGAAAATAAAGAAAATAAAGATTTATTTTCTTTATTTTCCTGGAGCCTCAGAAAGAAACTAAAGAAAATACAGAAAATAAAGATTTTTTTTCTTTATTTTCTTTATTTTCTTTATTTACTTTTCCAGGTGTCCAGCAGGATGGAATCTATAGAAAATAAAGATTTTTTTTTATTATTTTCTTTATTTTCCTGGAGCCTCAAAAAGAAAATAAAGAAAATAAAGAAAATAAAGATTTATTTTCTTTATTTTCTTTATTTTCTTTATTTACTTTTCCAGGTGTCCAGCAGGATGGAATCTATAGAAAATAAATATTTATTTTCTTTATTTTCTTTATTTTCCTGAAGCCTCAACAAAGAATATAAAGAACATAAAGATTTTTTTTCTTTATTTTCTTTATTTTCTTTATTTACTTTTCCAGGTGTCCAGCAGGATGGAATCTATAGAAAATAAAGATTTATTTTCTTTATTTTCCAGAAGCCTCAAAAAGACAAAGAAAATAAAGATATATTTTCTTTATTTTCTTTATTTTCTTTATTTACTTTTCCAGGTGTCCAGCAGGATGGAATCTATAGAAAATAAAGATATGTTTCTTTATTTTCTTTATTTTCCTGGAGCCTCAAAAAGAAAATAAAGAAAATAAAGAAAATCAAGATTTATTTTCTTTATTTTCTTTATTTTCTTTATTTACTTTTGCAGGTGTCCAGCAGGATGGAATCTATAGAAAATAAAGATTTATTTTCTTTATTTTCTGTATTTTCCTGGAGCCTTAAAAAGAAAATAAAGAAAACAAAGACAATAAATCTTTATTTTCTTTATTTTCTCTATTTTTTTGATTTTCTTTATTTACTTTGCCAGGTGTCCAGCAGGATGGAATCTATAGAAAATAAAGATTTTGTTTCTTTATTTTCTTTATTTTCCTGAGGCCTCAAAAAGAAAACAAAGAAAATAAAGATTTATTTTCTTTATTTTCCTGGAGCCTTAAAAAGAAAATAAAGAAAATAAAGAAAAACATATTCATTTTCTTTATTTTTCTGGAGCCCCAAAAAGAAAATAAAGAAAATAAATCTTTAGTTTCTATAATTTTCATCCTGTTGGACACCTGGAAAAGTAAATAAAGAAAAGAAAGACAATAAAGATCTATTTTTTTGATTTTCTTTATTTTCGGGAAGCCTCACCCCCTTTCCGCCTGTTTTTTCTTTGTAGCTGGAGAGGGGGAGAGGGCAAGAAAATGTCGTGAAGCGGTGAGGCAAAGCGTACAGTGTCGAGAAATCCAAGAGGTGGAGAATCCAATGGGTGTAGAGAAAAGGGGGAAAAAAGGAGAAACACGCGCGGAATGGTATCAATGGGACAGATATTGGCACATACGGAAAAGTAATGAAAAGCATACAATTTAATATGGCAACACCCAAAATCTTCATAATTAGGTTTATAATAAGTCATCCCCAAATGTTAGGTTCCTTTTTGGCTTTACCATCTTAGAATTGCCTGCGGGGCTAAATGCCTTAGTCCACTCTATGCTTTGTAATGGCACTGCTGCTTTTGGATCATGTCTTAAGAGAATTATTCCAACGAACATTGAAAAGTATGTCCAAAAGAAAGTAGACAGCCATTTTAATTTTGATCTTTGCAAGCAAATATAAGAGTGGATGTGCAACACGGCTTGCGAAATCGAAGCAGCCACTCAGCCACTCAGCCACTCAGCCACTCTGGCAGAGCGGCTGGACCAGCCACTCTGGCAGAGCGGCTGGACCAGCCACTCTTACCAGAGCGTCTGCGTGGCTGAGTGGCTGAGTGGCTGCACCAAGCCACTGTGGCAGAATGTCTCAGTGGGTGAATAGCTAGTGCAGCTTAGCCAATGGAGTGTAAGCAGTATTACCCAGACCTAATTTTCCTTAGGTCTGGGTAGTTTTTCAAGTGAGGTTTTATGCTAATTTAGGGTTTCTTCCTTTATCTTGTAGGCACCGGGGCATATATTCTTATGGATTGAATGGAATTTTATGCAAACATCTGTGTTAAAGGGTTGTGAGAAAGAAGT